CAGACACAGACAGACACACACACAGACACAGACACACACAGACACAGACACAGACAGACACAGACAGACACACTTAGTGTTTAGTCTACGCTGCGTTCACCCACGTCATAATTATTGCAACTACTAAACAACGAGCTGGAACGATCACATCCTCACAATTATGGCTTTCTGTGGAAAGACTATCTGCGTAATCAATAGATAAAACCAGAACACAACAAATAAAACACTGCCACTGAAAGACACTGCTAACGTTTCACAATAAACTCCAATAAGTTGATGACTGTTTATGCATTAACAAATATTAACTAACAATGAGCAATATTTTTCTTACAGTATTTCTTAATCTTTGTTTATGTTAGTTAATAAAAATACAACTGTTCATTGTTAGTTCATGTTAGCTCAGCTCCATTAAATAATATTAACAGATACAACTTATGATTTTTATAATGCATTCGGAAATGTCAAAGTTAATAATAACTACACTGCAAAAAAGACGTTCTTCCTCGGTGTTTCTGTCTTGTTTTCCAGGTCAAATATCTAAACATCCTTAAATCAAGATACATTTACTGGAGACTTAATATATTAAGTCCTGCATTTTTTTTTAAAGAAATCACAATTTAAATGATCACAATTTTTAATCTTAAAACTAAAAATTTTGAGTTTATTTATTATGAATTTGAGTTTAAGACTTGCATCTTATGCATTGAAAATGCATCTTATTTTATAAATGTTTAGATATTTGTATTGGAAAACAAAAAAAATATGCAGGAAGAAAATCATATTTTGCAGTATGAGATTAATAGATGCTTTAGAAGTATTTTTCAGTGCTAGTTCATATTTGGCTCTGTACTATAGCGACTAATATTAAACTATTGTATGTTCTTCGGTTTAGTTTTTAGATTAATCTTGCATTATGACATTAACAATAGACAATTATAGGAATCATTATACAAAAAAAAAAAAAAAAAACTACATTCTACTGCTCATGTAGAATGTTGCACAAGTGTGAGTGTACAAATAAAACAGTTTACGAGTTTTTCAAGGATGCGAGTGCATTTCTCTGTGGAAGTCTGGTAATTGCGGTAATTGTGTCATGGTGTGAACACGTTTACAGACGTGAAGCTGGAAGCTGAAGTGGACTGCGGTTGTGTGTTGTGAGCTGTGAGATGGTTTCATTATTAGCTTGAAGGTGAATAATAAATATGACACAGTGTATAAAACTATACAGTGGAAGCGTCGGGTGCGGTGAGTGTTACACGTCGTCCTCAAAGGTGCGCATGCGTGTTTTGAGCGCCAGCACACGCGTGTACGGCAGCGCGGCGGAGCGGTAGAAGTCCAGCCCCGTGAGCAGCTCCACGTCTCGCACTCGAGCCGTGTGTAACTTCAGCAGATCCTCCACCCAGCGAGACTCGTCCTCCCAACTCTGCTGAAAAACACAGGGTTATTATTATTTCACTTGACCTCGTTTCATTTAAAATGCCACAAAACGGTTTCAGAAGCGGCTTTCCTGCCTGTGTTCATGTATTTCCTCTCGAAATATTAGAAATTAAACAAAAAAAGCAACAGAACTAAAAAAAAAAAAAAAAAAAACTAAACCTATCTCTTTTGATTAAAGAAAAAAAATGGTCTCAGATTTTCCCCCTAAAATTTAAATATAAAATATTTTTTTATTAAAGTACAAATATTCAAATTTATAAAGTCAAATTATCTAATTCAAATACCGAAAATATTCAAATTTAAACAGTCAAACGATCAAATTCAAATACTGAAAATCAAATGATCAAATTCAAATATTTAAATAAAATACTGAAAATCCAACACTTAAATTCAAATATTTAAATTCCAATGATCAAGGCACATATTCAAATGAAAATCCTGAAAATCAGAATTCACATACTTAAAATCAAATCAAATTCAAATAGGCCTACTGAAAATCAAATAGTCAAATATTCAAAGTCAAACAAGTATGAGTATTTTAAAACCAAATTCATATTACAACCCCAATTCCAGATAAGTTGGGACGTTTTGTAAAATGAAATAAAATCAAGAATCTGTGATTTGTTAATTCTCTTTAACTTTTATTTAATTGACAAAAGTACAAAAGAAAAGATTTCCAAAGTTTTCACTTGACCAACGTAAATATATTTTGTAAATATGAACACATTTTGTTTTTGACTGCTGCAACACACTCCAAAAAGGTTGGGACAGAGGCAAAATAAAAGTGAAAAGGTTATAGAATATCCACATTAAACTGTTTTGAAACAGTTCAGAGTAAGCAGCTGAATTGGTAACAGGTCAAGGTATCATGTTTGGGTATAACAGGAGCATCTCAGTCTTTGCCAGCAAAGCTGGATTATGGATCACCATCACTTTGTGCCAAATTTCACGAAAGTGTCAAACAAATCAAAAATCACATTTCGCAATGCAAAATCGCGTGCTTGACCTTTGACCCCTCAGATGGCATTGCATTAGAAACCGTCATGCTGCGGTGTTAAATATAGCCACATGGGCTCAGGAGTACTTCAGAAAACCACAGTCTGATGCTGCATCAAGAAATGCAACTTGAATCTCTGTTACTCTAGGAGAAAGCTATACATCAGTTCTATGCAGTGATGCCGCCGGGTTCTCCGGGCCACAGCTCATCTCAGATAGTCAAAACGACAGTGGAAAAAGTGTGCTGTACTCAGATGAGTCCACATTTCCACTTGTTTCTGCGAAAAATGGATTACGAGTTCTCAGTCCCAAAGACCACAGGGAGCATCCAGACTTTCATCAGCGACAGAAGCAACAGCAAACGTCTGTCATGGTATCTGAGTGCATGGGTGACTGGCATATGTGTGAAGGTACTATCAGTACCGCTGCTCCCTATACGCAGAGTACGCCGTTTGCGTAAGGCACCAACTCCCGGGGGGGGGGCACCATCCCAGTTGCTCAAAAAAAAAAAAAAACCGTGACGCGCCATTCCCGCATAAGCTCGCCCTTATGTTTGCGGCTGAATGCAAATGACCATAATTGATGGACAACTATACCCGTTAAAAGACATCAGCAATCCTGCGCCGAGAAAAAAAAAAGAAAAAAAAAAGATGAAAGCGAAGCCGTGCATCAATTTCCGGTACATTCATAATCCTGTGAATCCTTTTTGGCTGTTGACGTTAATAATGTCATAATAATTTCACCACCACCAACGCATCTAATATTCTCTCTGAGTTTCCATGTTCCCTTCCGAAAATTAGCCATGGTTTTAACATGAATAAAACCAAAAAATCATGGTTCTTGTAGCCATGGTAACCACAAATTAACCATGGTTTTGTTACTTCAAATAATAATTTACAAAGAAGTATTAAGATAATATTTTTTGTGGTTATAAAAACAAACCTAAGCCAACAACAGCCTTTAAAATGACTTATATAAAACCAATGAGGCAATAATGATAGGCTAATTAATAATTATATGGTTTCATAGAATAACACCATTAAAATACATAATGCAATAGCCAACAAAATAAACAATTTCTGTACATTACATGTAATTACAAATGCCTGTAAAGGGCACCAAAGGCCTGGTAATTGCTGCTGTTATACTTGCAGGATGATCAAATCCTTGTTTAATAGGCTGTTGACCAAACATTTAATTCAAATATCCACTTAATCTAATTTTTGGCCACATTTTTGCTATAGATGACACAGCCTCTATAACTTCTTCAACAAAAAAAAACGTGGACATCACAACCCTTACAAAAATGAACCATGGTTTTATCGAAAAACTGCTTAATTTTCTTTTGCGTGATTTCTGAATGCTTGAGACTACAAAATCAATCAGACATCTGTATTAATAAAATCATAGCCATAGGTAATTGTCTAGAGCTACAATTGTAATTGGTAAATAATAAAATTGAATTACTATTTATTTATTTACATTTAAATAAAGACTGCTGAGCTTCTGATGTCTAACTCCATCCGCCCCTCAGCACTGATTCACTGTCTGAACCGCAGACTTGAACAAACACTGCTCTTTCCAAACTGTACTTTTTCCCCATTGTGTTAAGAATATAATTACACCTTTACTATCATTTACTCTGGTGAATCATAAAGCAGTGTCATTGTGGCTTAATTAACAGCTCACTCTGTGTGTTCTTGCTTCTTGCATCAGACCAAGGCTGTATCTCATTGCGAGTTTTACTTGATCTTAGTGCTGCGTTCGACACTACAGATCATGACATACTCATAGATCAATTACAAAACTATACGGGTATTCAAGGGCAGGCTTTAAGATGGTTTAGATCCTACCTGTCCGATCGCTACCACTTTGTCTATTTAAACGGGGAATCATCTCAATTAAATCCAGTAAAGTATGGAGTGCCACAAGGATCTGTCCTAGGTCCTCTGCTATTTTCGATATACATGTTGCCCCTTGGTAATATTATTAGAAAATACGGGATTAGCTTCCACTGTTATGCAGATGATACTCAACTATATATCTCAACAAGACCAGATGAAACTTCTAAATTATCTAAGCTAACAGAATGTGTTAAAAATGTAAAAGATTGGATGACCAATAATTTTCTCCTATTAAACTCGGATAAGACAGAGATATTACTTATTGGACCAAAAGACAGTACACAGAATCTCGTGGATTACAATCTGCAACTAGACGGATGTACGGTTACTTCCTCTACAGTCAAAAATCTGGGTGTTATATTAGATAGCAACTTGTCTTTCGAAAATCATATTTCCCATGTTACAAAAACAGCATTCTTCCATCTTAGAAACATTGCCAAACTACGAAATATGTTACCTGTTTCTGATGCAGAAAAGCTAGTTCATGCATTCATGACCTCTAGACTGGACTATTGTAATGCACTGCTAGGTGGTTGTCCTGCATCTTCAATAAACAAGCTACAGGTAGTCCAAAATGCAGCGGCTAGAGTCCTTACCAGGTCAAGAAAATATGATCATATTACCCCAATTTTACAGTCTCTGCACTGGCTACCTATTAAGTTCCGTATCAGTTACAAAATACTATTACTTGCCTATAAGGCCCTTAATGGGTTAGCTCCTGCGTACCTAACTAGTCTTTCTGTAAAGCTGCTTTGCAACGACTTGCTTCTTGAAAAGCGCTGTGTGTGAAAAGTGTGTGTGTTGTAGTCTGGTTTTATTTAGATTCTAAATGTCTCCATCTCCTGGTCAAACCTCAGACCTACATGATATAAATAAACTACACACATCATATTATTCACTAATAATAATTATGCACATTATTCATATGTATATGCACAGGAGAACATCTTACAAACACTTCACACATGTGTGTGTGCGTGAGTGTGTGTGTCTGTGTGTGTGTCTGAGTGTGCGCGTGTGTGAGCGAGTGTGAATGTGTAAATGTGAGTGTGTGTGTCTGTGTGTGAGTGAGTGAGTGTTTGTATATGTGAGTGTGTGTGTGTATATATGTGAGTGTGTTTGTGTGTGTGTGTGCGTGTGTGAGTGTGTGTGAATGTGTGAGTGTTTGTATATGTGAGTGTATATGTGAGTGTGTTTGTGTGTGTGTGTGTCTGCGCGTGTGTGAATGTGTATATGTGAGTGTGTGTGTCTGTGTGTGAGTGAGTGAGTGTTTGTATATGTGAGTGTGTGTGAGTTTATATGTGAGTGTGTATGTGTTACTGATGTTGCAGCTCTCGCTGTGTGTGTGTGTGTGTGCGAGTGAGTGTGTGTGTATATGTGAGTGTGTGTGTGTATATATGTGAGTGTGTTTGTGTGTGTGTGTGCGTGTGTGAGTGTGTGTGAATGTGTGAGTGTTTGTATATGTGAGTGTGTGTGTGTATATATGTGAGTGTGTTTGTGTGTGTGTGTGCGTGTGTGAGTGTGTGTGAATGTGTGAGTGTTTGTATATGTGAGTGTATATGTGAGTGTGTTTGTGTGTGTGTGTGCGTGTGTGAGTGTGTGTGAATGTGTGAGTGTTTGTATATGTGAGTGTATATGTGAGTGTGTTTGTGTGTGTGTGTGCGTGTGTGAGTGTGTGTGAATGTGTGAGTGTTTGTATATGTGAGTGTATATGTGAGTGTGTTTGTGTGTGTGTGTGTCTGCGCGTGTGTGAATGTGTATATGTGAGTGTGTGTGTCTGTGTGTGAGTGAGTGAGTGTTTGTATATGTGAGTGTGTGTGTGTATATATGTGAGTGTGTTTGTGTGTGTGTGTGCGTGCGCGTGTGTGAATGTGTATATGTGAGTGTGTGTGTCTGTGTGTGAGTGAGTGAGTGTTTGTATATGTGAGTGTGTGTGTGTATATATGTGAGTGTGTTTGTGTGTGTGTGTGCGTGCGCGTGTGTGAATGTGTATATGTGAGTGTGTGTGTCTGTGTGTGAGCGAGTGAGTGTTT